TACGCCATGTACACCTAAGTAGCACGCTTTTATGCTCATATTTCATATAAAAAAAAATCTTTGCGTAATTTCATTTGACCACTCATTACTTCTTATTTATCGATCGATTTTCTTCATTAGTAACTCTATCCATTGAACATTTTTGCTGTAAACCAGTGTTATCTATATAAAAAATACATTAATACGAGGAATTTCACTTTTTCTGATTTTGGACAATTAACTAATGCTCGTATTACAAAAAAAAAAAGGTTTTGTTTACAAAGAACCTACATTTTTATGCCACCGAACTAATTTTTTAATTTACATGAAACATTTCGCAAACATGAACTCCCTCGGTTTTAAATAGTCCACGATATCGAGCGTCCACAGCGTGACAAGTTTTCACAATTTATTTGTTTGTTATTTAATTTTGGTTTTTTTAATAAAAATATAGTTTGTGTTTTAACAAAAAAACTGTATAAAATCCAAGTTTTAAACTTTGTATAATATTATAAAAATCCGCAAACTTTCATAAAAATTTCGAGCTTTTTAATAAGATTTCTTGTACAGATTTTGAGTAATTCATTAAAATTTAGTGTAATAAAACGCAAGTTTGAAGTAGCTAGGACTAACCGTTAATTTTTGGTATGTTTTTTTTGTGACGGTGTNAAAAAATCGATTCCAATCGACTATGAAAGCGTTTCAGGAATGTAAAGACATTCTTTTGCGCCCTGTTTAAATAGCTAAATCTTATACGGAATTACGTGAAATCTACGAAAGAGCAATCACTAAGTCCATCGGTATTCGAATTCCATCTCAATTTTTGTTTCTTGTTGTAAATAATGTTCCTCTGATGAAAAGCTAGCTAGTTAGTATAATGACATCTTGAACCTTGCAATGTATAAAACAAATGCTTTAGAGAAATCAACTGATTTAGGTTAGCGATAAAGTAGATATTTTTCGCGAAACAAAAGACAAGAAGCGATTAATGAAAGCCTTTTCTTTTCATATATTATTCCGTAACAAAAGCTGTGACGGGAATTTGTCACTCATACAGAATAGAGCCGTTAGTCACACGAATACGACAGCCGGTTCTACGTAACGGAATGATCGGGTTTTACCCGACAAAGGGCTGTTGCTTCGGCGATCTAACCCAGTTTAGGTCGGCGAAATCCATCAAACGTTATTCGATATTGGGGCTACATCTGCTCCGTACCCTTCTGCTAAGGGCTGGCATAGAGTCCAACCCAGGGCCAGAAATTTATACCTGCTGCGTATGCCAGAGATGACTGCATACAAACTCCACCTCGGTGAGGTGCAATGGCCACTCTCATCATTCCAGACATTTGTAAACTGGGGAGAGTGGTTCCACCGCTTAAACCGTTCAACAAAGGAGAGTCGTATTGCCCGATAACCCTCCTTTCCCCGGTAGCGAAAACACTAGAGGCTCTTCTACCCCCGCACTACAGAAACCACCTGACCTCAGCGAAACATCAGCATGGGTTCCGTAAAGTTCACAGCACAACAAAAGCACTTAACGCCATAAACACGCAGATAACTCGTGGCCTTAGCCGAAACCGCTCCTTTGAGAGAACTATTCTAGTAGCATTGGACCGGTATAAGGCGTTCGACACTGTCAGTCATTCAACGCTGCTAGAAGATATAGAGGCCTCCTCACTCCCACAGGGACTCAAACGGTGGTCGGCGAATTATCTGATTGGTCTACACTCGTCAGTAACTTTAAAGGACAAAACCAGTAAACTAGGAAAAATTAATCAGGCGGTACCACAGGGTGGTGTCCTATACCCACGGTTGTTTAATTATCATATTTCAACGCTCTCTCAACCACCAGAGGGAGTCACTATTGTCTCTTATGCTGACGATTGCTCGATTATAGCGTCTGGGAATGCGAAAAAAAATTCAGTGCTCGAAAGTAAACGGTTATCTGTGGCAACCCTTTTCATCACCTGGACGAAGGAGGTCAGACTACAATTGGGTATTCACGTCGGTGGCGTAACAATACCGACGGTGAATAACCCCAAAATCCTCGGAGTCACCTTCGACAGTCTGCTCTCCTTCTTGGAGCACACAACCGCAATTGTGAAGAGTACAGAGCTGCAGTCCTCAAGTCGCTGGCCGGCAGCACTTGGTGCAAAGACAAAGAAACGTTGTTGGCAACATACAAGGCGATTGGTCGCCTGGGACTAGCAGGACGCAATGGAGGAAACTACAAACCTGGCAGAATACGGCAGTTGGGACAGCGACCGGATGTCTTCTGTCGAAACGCTGCTCGCAGAAGAGCCCTCGCCAAGGCACGCCAGGAGGCATCTCTACGAACTGACGGACGAAGTCCAGAGATTCATTAAACCTCTGGACCCGTCAGCTTATCGACAGGCCCTGAGCGACATACACAGGGAGTCGGTCTCAAGTTATGTAGACTGTGAATGCCGTTCTAGGCACACAACCACCTGACGTGGACGGGGCAGAACTTAGTCTGCCTTGAGGGACCCGCACCACAATAGCCCAACTTCGCTCTGGGCAGAATTAATGAGGATGTGCCCAACCAATGCCCGGCATGTGGAGAGTCGCTACATGACTCACGGCACCTCATCACATGCCCCGAGAACCCCACACAGCTAACCTCTCTGTCCTTATGGACAGACCCTGTCGAAGTCGCGCACTTCCTGGGCCTCCCCTTAGCTGAAACGGACGACAACGTTGACGGATGAACCGACCCGAGCGGGGTTTAGTAGCCGCTACAACAACAACAACATAGTTACAAGGTTTTTATTTTTTACTTACATCTGGTGCGAATGGAGGCTTCACCATGCCAGCTTCTAACCGTTTCCAGTTGATACAATTAAAGAATGGATGTAATTTCACCTCACGCGCACCATATCGCCCATTACGACAGCCAAGTCGCACTTTTATGGATTTTGCAAGCAATTGCTGGCATAATGACTTTGCCTCATCGCTAAATTTGCTTGAATACTTTTCAGGATCCTCCTGCGAAAAAGAAATTCAGAAATCAACATATTATATTCCAAAGCACACTATGGAACCAACTTACCTTCACACGCCTATCAACTTCTTCGCGTTTCACTTTTTCCTTGCGCATACGAAAAGGTGCCTGACCCTCGATCATTTCATATAATAAGCAACCGAAACTAAACCAGTCCGGCGAGAATGAGTATTTTTCATTGTCGATCACTTCAGGTGCCATGTAACCTTCACAATGAAATGTTAGTTAGAAATGAAAAAATTTGTAGAAGATCCAATTTTAACACTAACCTACGGTACCGACACGCCCGCGCACCATTTCACCTTCCGGTATTTCAACGGCTAAACCTAAATCTGATATTCGCACATGGCCATGATCGTCCAGCAATATATTTTCTGGTTTACAATCTCTATACACAATACCCTGTTGGTGTAGATGTTCGAGTCCGCACACCACTTCGGCTGCGTAAAATCGTGCTCGCACCATTTCGAAACCCGGATCACCGCCCATATTATAGATATGGAATTTTAAGTCACCGCCTGCGGAATATTAAAAAAAAAAAGTTTCAAACTTGTAGTAAACGAATGTAGTAAATAAAGGTGTCTGTTAAACTAAAACTCGTTTAAACGATTTGTCACACAGTACCGTAGAGAGGACCTTGTATTCAATATTAGGCTTATTGCGCTATAATTGACACAAACAGCAGGAGCTCTCTTTTTTGTGGACTTGATAAGATGCAATGACAATGGAGTCTTTGAAAGCTCCGTTTTGTACTTCTGCGAAAAGCTCCGTCCGTATAAATAGCCCATCCAAAAAAGTAGGGTTGTTGACTAAGCTTTCGAATAACTCTCGGCTATAAGCCCTTAGGGAAGGTTGTGAATACGAATCAGACTTCGAAAACTTTACTGGAACCATAAATCTTTACTTATATAAGGTTTTTTACATTATAATGAACAAAGCCCCAGTAAAAAGTTCCTCGAATAATTTGCATCATAAAAACAAAACAAAAAAAAAAAAATATTAATGCAAATTTACCAGATTTGAGAGCTTGAAAAAAGTTCACGTTTTTTAGCCATATAAGTAACCGACATCCCAGAAGTAAAAAAATTAAATACATACAAACACACAAAAGCATATTTGTATGTCTCTATTCGCAAAAGTAAACATTATACTTAAAAATAAATGAAGAAGAACAACGAAATTTGATTCAAGCGAAGCAAATTAGTGCGAAAGGACCCGAAAATTACAAAAACATAATCAGCCTCATTGCGTAAGTCGTAATTTAGGCTAAATTGTACGACTCGACAACATTGGCATTGTCTACTGTCGTGCCGAAATAAGTAAACGACGAAAATCGTCGAAAATTATACAGTGCTGCCAAGTTTTCCGGTTTTAATACACTAGTCGAGTGGAAATTTTAGGCACTGACGTGAAATTTTCGATACGATTCGACTCTCGAAAAACGAGTATAAATTTTAGGCAATGACGTGAATTTTTCGATACGATACGAATCTCGAAAAACGACTTGCATTCGACAGGACTCTGTCAATAATAACATTTTCGCTAATTTACTTTCATATAAACTTTTAAAGGTGTCAAATGATTTCATTTTTGCTTTACATGGTACGTATTCCAAAAAATTTCAGGAGATGCTTTAAACCCCAAAGAACCCGCTGTAAGCGCCAATGTAATACCAAAGTATAGCCAATAATGTTAAACCTTAATAACCATAAAATGGAAGCGTTCTTTTGTTATGCAATTTTATTTTTTATTTATTTATTTTTTTTTTTTCAAGAAACTCAACTTACCGTTCATAATCGTTAGCACTAAGCAGAGCGCATCTTTGGTCTCATACGCATATGCCAAGTTCACAACAAAGCGGGAATTTATTTTTTGCAAAATCTGTTTCTCTATCAGCACCATCGATTCGCCTTTACGTTTTTTTATGCGCTTCTTTTCGAGTTTTTTGCAAGCGTACATTTTACCAGTGGCACGTACCTGTAAAATGACGAAAAAGTGTCGATGACTTGTACTTTTGTAAATACATATGCATGCATGCCATTTTATGTATTCGAAAAATATGAATGCCATAAAAATGTGTAGCAAGTACTTCTGAATAAGCATACATTTGCATATTTTACACTTTCCCCGGTTTATGTATTGTGCGCTTTTGCTTTATATATATTTTTTTTTTTTGTATTTACCTGACATGCACAGACCTCGCCGAAGCCACCTTTGCCCAGTACGCGGTACATACGAAACGTTTTGTAGGGGATGGGTTGCGCCTCCAGCCATTTCCATTGCAAATATCTGTGTAACGAA